TTGTAACACAAAAGATCTCTCTCTTTTTACTGTACTCGTTCGAAAAGAGATATGACAGTGGTCATATCCCTTCTCGAATGAGTATGGTGGTGGTTGAGAGTGGTCATCTCGACAGTCTCCAAAATTCTTTCAAGTAATATAACTATTTCTTACTAAATATACTTTGTAGATTGTCCACGTATAATTGCCAAAGTAATGTCCAAGGCTAATTTGACAACGGCAAAGGCAAATGAACTTAGTACCGCTAACTCGATTACAAAAAATCGTATTCTAACAATGTATCGATTACCCGCTCGACAGAGCCAATCAATCGTTAATATTTGAATATTCACAGTAAGGGCGCTGGAGCGTTGAAATCTACTTCTTGGTTGCTTTATTTAATTTGGCCAAATTTTTTACAATTTGCATAGAGGAAACGCTGGACCGTGTCCGCTGTTAATTCGGTTTTTGCCGCTGTAATTTGTTGGCCGACGAATTTCTCTTCATTTCTAACAATTTTAAATACTTTTTTTAGAACTACGTGATTTCCACTTACGCAATTTTACACAATGATAGAATTTTTTAATCGTATAATCGCTTTTAGTGTTTATTTTTATAACAGGCAATGTAGACTTGAAATAGATGGTTGTTTAGTCATTTTCAAATTTATTTATAGCCGAGGAGAAATGGACTACAAAAATATTACATGTGTAACCTACAGACGGTCATAAATTATTTCTGTACACATACAGACGGTTGTTATGTAAATTATTATGGTCTAAAATACAATTCATTAGATGTTACAATGTAGATAGAATGCTAAGTGGAAAAAGTTTTCAGTCATAAAATCGATACTAATCGACATTAAACAGAATCGATTAAAGTCTATTAATGGTAATACTAAAGCTGTAGCTTCAGAATTTACTATAAAAATAACTCGAACGTTAAGAAGCAGGTTAACAAATAATGTTCACATAGTTCGCATAAATTCACTTGGGCCTTGTTTTACTTATTCACGTTTTTGCATTTATATTTTGTCAATATTGGGAAGCTACTACTTCTGAGAAGAACTGAAATAGAAAATCAACATCTATTTTCTTAATTATAATCTCTTAGTTTACTTTTTAGAATGTGTAATATGTCTGATATATTTATTATATTGTGAATTCCCTGCATATGCGGTTTCTTACGGTAACCGTCATGTAGGAGTCGATCTTCATAAGTCCTTCAGCAGATTAGGAATCAGGGATTCCTAATCTGCCTCTGCCTCTCTGCCTCTACAGTGCCCTATTTTCTTCCAGCGAAGCTGTAAGGACCAAATGCGGTCAACAGTTTTAGAATAATTCGAAAAAAAGGTATTTTATATCGTACCAACAATAAAGTTCATGATTTTATTTATTCTAAGTTCATATTGCGCAATAGGCATATGGAGACATAATAAATTGCCTTTGCTGGACTCTGAGTGGTTGTCATTGTTTAGTATTGTTTTTTGTTACATTAAAGCTAGCAACCCTGTTATGTTGGTAGAAAGTTGTACTGTTTTAGGTCGCAACTTGTGGTTACCGGCGCGTGGGGCAGATGCGCGCGCAGGTGGCGTCACGGCTCATAGTCAAAGTTACTAAGTAGACACCAATATTAGCTGAACGAATTCACAATCGTGGCTGAAATACGATATCCATTACACATAAACTTTGAGTTATATCTAATTTCATAATTGACGCTAGGACCAGATTATATAAATAAACAATAACCCTGGACAATTGACATAGCGCCATCCAGTCTCAAGATAAACAGAGCTTGTAGGTAATATTAGAGATCTGATAGAAATATTACGTATTTTTATCACTATCATAGCATTTTTTTTATAAATATATACCATAATATACCTACTTTGAAGAGACAGACCAATACAAACATATAATACTCACGAATACAAACGTTTGTGTGCGAGTACTGCGAGTGTATATCAATCTGTAGACAGAAAATATTATAAAGTTTATGTAAGTATAGGATATAGATGTAGGTTACATATACAACTAGAGGAAAGTTTTATAAATATTAAGTACTTAAATTTGGATTTGTTGCATAAATTTCCAATTTATTTTATTACCCTATATATATATATATATATATGTGTATAAAATTGCAGAGCTACACTCTACAATTTTATATTTAGAGGTAGATATATACCTATGTACCTACATAGGTATATACATACTGCATATGCCTACCTAGGCAAAAATGTTACAGTTTTTAGAACTAATTAAGTGGTAGTTTTATAAATTTACCGTGTAATCAATCTTAAATGTAATTAAACACTAGTTTAATTGGATCTCGGTTGCAAAGTGAATAACCGTATTTCGTTATGCAATTAAAAGTTGATAACTGAACCAGATTACTGTTTTTTATTTGGGTTCATTATAACTGACAGTTGGCAGTCTATATATAATATTTTTATTTAGTTTCATATTAACATTAGTAATAATTATTAGCTTCTATATATTAATTTTTCTAATATCAGTATGACACTAGGGTGACAAAAATGTGTAGGTATATCACTTCTTTCAGTTCCCAGGATGTGTATAAAGACCAGTAGATGAGCTAATAGCATTATATCGGACAAACGAAGAAAAAGTATTATTCAAATTACTTGAACAACGTGATAAAAGTAGATCCATTACTACTTTTAGGGATAATACCCTTCACTTATCTTTTAGTCTTTATTTGATTTATACAAATTATCTTCAAAATTAAAATTTAAGCTCAGATGAATTTGTTAGCGATACAAATATGATACTTCATACATAAGTCTGTTTATAACTTCATTTACTCTATCAATATAATCATACCTTGGAATTTCAAGACTTAACATATAACTTACAATCTTCTGTTGCTTACTGTCAAGCAAACCCTACACTTGTTTACCATTTTTGTATTGCAATACAATTACATTTAAGGAAATAAGTCTATTTTTGCTAGGTTTCTTGCTTACAGCTATATTTATACAGACGCGTTAAACAATTAGCAATCATTAATACAATGGATCATTAATTAAAACTGCAAGCAAAACGCACAAAACATTTGTATAATAAATGGGTACCGCATTGTAAATACTGAGAACATAAAAAGATAGAAAGGATGAGAAAAATATTTTTATTATGAATCTTTTGTGAATACATTAGAACTCTATTTTATAGCATATCATTATGTAAGTTATTTCTTTTTATTATATCAAGGGCTAGTACCTTGAGTTTTGTATTTATTAAACATGTCTCTCTGGAATAATGGATATTTCAAATAGTGAAAGTATTTCTCTATTTGGCGCAGAAGCTTCGGAGTTTTTTTTAATTGTATCTCAGTACACAGATATAGGTTTAATTACAGAATATTTAAAGTAATATAATAGAAAATAGTTAAACCTGGATGTGTGTGCCACGACAAATATAAAATGGCTTCTATCTCAGTTTACTTTCTTCATAACAACACAATTTCTCACCGTCTCTCTATCTCTTTTTAATCTTAAATAATATTATACACGCTAAAGTTTGTGAATATGGATGTTTGTTACTCTTTCACGCAAATACTACTGTACAGATTTTCATGAAACTTTACAGTGTTACCGCGTGTGTACCCGCGTTAAATTTTAATACATTTTATATTAAAATTTAACGCGGGTGAAACCGTGGGCACATCTAGTATTAATATATTTATTTATATATTTATTCATCCCTAACATTCTTCTATGAAATCTTCGATTCAAAAAATCTCAATGCGATGGCAATAATAAAAATTGCTATTATTCGACAAACAGAAAGCCAAAAAAAAGGTAATGTAACAACACAACTCTTTTCACACCAGAAGTAAAAATGAAATTACAAATAACATTGTTACACCTTGTTTCACAGATCAAATAAATAAACTTATTTAACTGCTCTGTCTGGGAAAACGGAGACATTAATAAACAAACATACTTTGTTCTTATTACGGACAATTACATAATGCAAATATGCCTAGATATCGTTTTTATTATGAACACTAAAATGGTAGTATTGCTTACTCCAGTAAAATACACGTAAAATCAGCCGACTGCGACGAAGTAGGCCGTAACTTCAATAAAATAATTATTACATAGGTCCTGCAGACATTAATGGTTGTGAATTAAATTTGTTTACTCAAAATAAGTGCCTATCTTAATTACATTTAGGATAAAATTAATTAAACTATTCATTTAACAATTAGGCTTGAAAAGATTACTCCACTAATTAAATGCTTTGTTTTTACCATCAAAAACATTATAGCTTAATATTATTACATTAATAATATTATTCCCAATTTTAAGTGAAAATTGTATTACGAATGTGAATTATAAATCCGCTGCGCGTAGTAAATTTATATTCGTGAAAATAAACGGATGTTTGCATATTACATTAAGATGGAGACCGCGATACGCGGGTATAATGGCCAATATTGTTGACGCTTGACTGCCAGAGGGTACTTTGCCCTAGACTCTACAAGTCATAAAATTGTAACTTTTAATAACATATCCCTAAGAAAGGTGTCACAATGTTTTTTAGTTTGCACTAAAATGTTACCGCTTATAAGGACATACCTGAATATATACATATGTATTGGTATAAGTATATGCTATCTAGATTATTACTATATACTAAAATTAGTTTCTATCACGACTTTTAAACATGAATCAAAATTTTATTTATTTTCTAAGGAAATTGGGTAAAGTAAAAAGTAATTAATTTCTAAGAAGGACCATTTACTACGATGAATTATGTCCTAGTTAACTCAGTTACTTCATTAATCATTTTTTTTATAATACTTAATACTTGTAGAAATATTTGAAGGAATATTCGAGTTAGAGAATACATTAATAATGCATACACACCGAGGCAGACTTTGTAAAAAGACGTATATACGACTGAAAATACTGTCGTCAAACAGCTTGATCGTAGGCTGTGTTGAGTTGAAATATCAAATTTACGTGTATTTCCTTTGTTTCAGATATTTGAAATATTTAAGGACTATAAATCAAGCCCTTCGAAATGGGAGTATCAGATCCTGGGTCGTCAACCACTCCAGACCTACCTCCACTAGACTCTGAGCGTCCTGGCTCCGGCAGCGGACTTGATGATGAGGACATCCCTCGGAGGAAACAGAGGAGATATAGAACAACCTTCACCAGTTACCAGCTTGATGAGCTGGAGAAATCATTTGGAAGAACACATTATCCCGACGTGTTTACTAGGTAAGTTTTTCCATAAAATATCATTTTAGTTTTTGATTATGATCATAAATACTTTCTTTCGCTACAGATATTATTTATGAGTTTGTACTGGATAACCTGACTAAAAGTCATAACAATAAGTCTTGGTTTTGTCGCTATTGATTTTTATGAAGAATAAAAACCTTAGCACCAAATTAAGATATAAAACAAAGAATTACAGTCTAGTTCAAAATAAATGAAGCATTCTGATGAAATCACAAGTCTGATTTTATTACTACAGTGTAAAAGATTCGTAAATTTATAGTGCAATTAATGTTTGTTACAGAGAGGAACTCGCACTCAAAATTGGTCTCACAGAAGCCAGAATACAGGTAAGTTTATTTAGTTTATAATCTGTACAAATATAGAGTTGTTAACAATATTTGTAAGACTTGTAGCAACTATGAGCGAAAGAAACGAGCTTTGTTTAAATTTCATTCTACAATTTATATATTATAAAACAAAACCAAGTTTATCTGTATAGTTCGTGAAAATCCCAATAACTACTAAACAACAACACGAATTTCATGCTGTTTTATTTCATCAAAATTTAAAATACATTAAGGATTTGGATAAGTTAATTGAAATACCTATGAGAAGCTACCAGTCTCTAATATATTATACATAACAGCTTTACTGTTGTATTCATGTTGTTCATAGCAGTATTAACATTTACATTAGATATTCCATAAGTTTGATTGCTATTTTTATGTGAAATCTACATTACAAACAATACGAGAGAAAACAAGGCAGAGCTCAACCAGCTGTTACCGCAGTGGACACCCGGCTTTATCACTATAAAAAAATGTATAGTAGCTAAGAATTTATATCAATCAATAAATATGGAATTTGATAACTTTATAAAGTACAATGTATGGCGCGTTCGCGAGCCAGCAGTAAAAAGTCGCACGTATGCTCCCCGCGGTGTCTCGATGTCTTACCTCAGCGTACAGCTCTGTGGGACACTTATTATTAACACATTCCGTAGCTGTCTATTAACGTGGTAATAGACCAGGGGATTGGTTATACACGGGCAGTATAAAAAATGTTATTTCCTGGCGTTTAATAAGTTTCCTGTGTAATATTCGTACCGTCCAAATTAAGATACGAATGCCGGCCGCGTATATTCGTTCGCATTTAGATCATTATCGTGAAATTACCACGGCATTTTTAATAAACAATATCGTATAATATTCTTAGCAGAACATGTTGTAAATATTGAGCAAGTATTTTTTTAATAAAAATATATTTATATACCTATTCAAATGTACAATAAGGAAAATTCTGAACCTGACAATGATGATTCCATTTAGAATAAATCATTTTTGACAGTTTCAATTTCCTGATCGACGTTTTGTTTATTTATTATTAGATGTTGCGGGATAAACCGTCTATAAACGTCCAAGATTATTTACATATATTATTAGACTTACTGTTATTTTTTAATCTGAAGTCTTTGCAATATATAGAAGTGTATAAAACAATTCTTTAATGCAGCTGAATATTTCTTGTAAAAATACAAGTTAGTTAAAACTAACCTCCGAACTCATAAAAATTAAAACCTAATAGTTTTATTTTAGATTTTGATAATTACATTTTTCAAATTAAAATTATAACTTGATGAAAAATTAAAATACACTGTAATTAGTTTTTTAAAAATTTAAAAGTTTGGTTATTCAACTTTTATCCACTTGCTAACTATGTAGGTATATTCACTCCTGTTTCCGTCTATCCATCTTACGGGTTTCAATACTGTTGGTCAAATGTGAATATAAAATCTTCATTCGATAAGAAAATTATATTTATTAGTAGTATTTACATAACCTAATTGTACAACTAAGAACCTAAAATTAAAATGCTAAAAAAAATATAATATGATGACTATAATATATTATTAAAAGGGGTCCCTTTAGGCAAAGTTCCGAAGAAACAGGCAGCGTTCCCTCTTTGAATAGCTAGACTAATTCTTTGTCCAAAGTAGCTGCCAGCTCTTCGGTCTTCTGTGATGTCGACTAACCTTTTCGTTATTTCATTTATATGAAATTCTAAATTTGGAATACTTAAACAATAAAGAAGTCTGATGATATAATTTGTTGTTAAGAATATATTTTTATTTTGCTATAATACATATACAAAAATAATTAATTATAGAAGTTTAATACCATAATTTGTCGCGTTAAGAATATATTTTTATATTGTAGTAATACATAATATTAAACCCTAGTGAATGAAAAGTCTTTTGAGTCCGTTGTTCAACCGTCCTAATGCAATTTCTTCAAAATAAAAGCACATTAACTAGTAGAATATTGCTGTTTAAAACGATTTTAATTAAGTGTCTCCCTTAATAGTATGTTAGTAATGGCTATAAAACTTGAACTTTACGATGTTCTCGCATGTAGCCATAAGTTGTCAATGTAATTAATTACTAAATGTCCATTGAACGTTACAAGAGGGCAATTTGCTGTATCGAATTTGATGTATATATTACTAACAGTTCCATGTGACTTCGTCTGTTGTTTTTTGAGATAAGATATCCGAATATACAATATGTCTTCAACTAAAATTATATAAAATCCGTTTAGGCGTTTAGTCGTGAATAGGCATAGCAAGTAGACAGATAGACAGAGACTTCACATATATAATGAAAGTCAGCTTCTTCATTCCAATTATTTATATAAAAAATACCTCCAGACTTGTGATACGGGCGTAGATTTAAGAGGCAAATGTTGATGTGCTTTTCAGTACACTTACCTTCAATTCCTTCATTACTCTCTGTGCTCAACCAAATCTGATATGAACGAATCTACCTAAACATCTCAACAAAGATACTTCAACATAGCAAAAGACATTACCCTCCTTTCTTTAGTCGAGTAAAGAAAACATCAGTTTAATTAAAACGATTAATTTCCACCACTTCACATTAAAATTATAGACACAGTGCAAAATCAAGATACCATATAAGACCTGTCGGACGGCACTCCTGCGCATGACCGTATTGGTCTAACGACACCTTAATGATCACTTAATCACTGAATGCCTGAATAACGGCCCCTTTCATTAAAACCTGAGACGCGGCAAATTGGTAATACAACTCTTCTTAATATTGTCAACATGAATATCATTTAGGTGTACACACTTTTTTAATTATAGTTATATATGTACTAGCGATCCACACTGACTTCATATGTGTAGTAGAATATTATATTATACGCCTAAATCTTTGCCATGATCCTGTTGATAGATGGAAGTAGTTTCTAAGATTATAGCGAAAATACATACAGATGCGGCGGGAGTTTTTGTTTTATAATATTTATAGATATTATAAATTGCAAAAGCAAGTGGTTCAATCAATCATTGAGAAGGAAATTTAAATAATGGTCACAGAAATAAAATAGCAAGCTGAATGTGGACGAGAAACTCAACAAATATTTATTGTTGATGTAGATACTAACTTCATCATTTTTTAAAAGAGTTCTGAAAATGATATAGCATTTTAAGAATTCTCGAATTTCTCGTTAAAAAATCTAGAAAATATTTTTTTAAAAAATAATTATTATTCTACAGATTTTTGTTTTCTAAATAATTTCAGCAATACAGACACGAACTTCTTAGCATTTCATGGATTTCACCGCGCGAATTGATCTAAAAACAAACTACTAATTGACTTTATATTGTCTGCAGGTGTGGTTCCAAAATAGGCGGGCAAAATGGCGAAAGCAAGAAAAAGTGGGGCCTCATGCACATCCTTATAGCGGATACTTGGGCAGCGGACAACCTCTACCTACATCCGCTACTCTACCCGCTCCGCCTCATCCGTTGACACAATTAGGATTTGGACTTAGAAAACCGTTTGACAACGCTTTAGCATCTTTCAGGTAAGTTTCTATAAAAACAGTTCGCGTAACTTGATAATAAATAGTAGATCTTTGTATAATGATTTTATTTATATATATTTTTATTACCTGAACAACAAGAATAATACATATAATTGTTCGCAAAATGTACTTTTGCATGATTATAGATAAGTAAATTGTAGAATCAAGTATAGTGACGATATGCTACTCTCTTGGTCTAGATCAATCTTCAAATGTTTCTACGTTAAAAGGTAGATTAAAATCGAACAAGTAGTAATAGATTTGGACTGTGGAGAATTCTTACATTGAGCATTGATCAAAATTATAATAAATAACATATTAAAATTTTATCATTATTGACTAAAGTACTAAAATAATTTATTTTCTAAGTCTGCGTGAAGATGTCACTAATGGAGCCATCATTTCATTCCCACAGGTATCCCAACAATCCATTATTCGGAGCTCAATATCTGCCACCGCTATCGCGACCACCTCTATTCGGAGCCCCACTCTACGCCGCATCGCCCGCTCACTTCCACTCGCTCTTCGCTAACCTCACCATGCCTGAACCTCCCCGGCTTTCCCCCGAACGATCGCAATTATCTCCAGAAGTCTCCCGATCTCCAGCCCCGTCCATATCTCCTCCAATTTCTCCAGGGAGCGAGACGTTACCACCGCAAATGGAAGATGTTAGAATGTCTAGTATCACCGCTTTAAGAATGGCCGCACGGGACCATGAAATAAGATTAGAGTTGTTACGACAAAGGGCAGATTTAATTTGTTGATATCAAATTTCTTAAACAAGTTGCTGTAAATTAATTTTAATACATATTTATTGCTGTAGTTTTACTTCCACTTTGTAAAATATGAGTAGATTACAAAATTAAACTTTTCTATATGTCCAATGAAATAGACTATAATTTATATTCAATTTATCATTTGTAAATATAATTTACCCTGTATAAATTATACAAAATTACGTATAAATAGAATAATCTTTGTTCTAGAGTAGTTTACAAATATTTTAATGTTTAAGTAAAATTAATCAGAGGCCTATTAAAATGATATGTAGGTAATAAATCTACATATTGGGATACACTATCTGTTAATTCCGTCCTTTATTTAATTTATATAGTATGTTGTAAATATCTTTTAATAAATATTATTCAATGAAGTTCTTTGTTTTATTCCATATTATTTCATAACCTACCTGTAACAAATTCATAATCTGCAATGGCAATTAAGTAGTGACGCAATAGCTACATAGTTGATATGTTAATTCTATATTAAGTTATATGGGAATAGAACGATACCAATTTTCTTATGAAATAGGATTGAGTATTAGACATCTCTATACCCAATAAACTTTGTAACCCACAGAGTAAAAAAAGAATAATACCTAGAAAAAATATCACTAATTGCTGAAGACTTTTTTTAACTAGAAATTCGACTACATGAAAACAATAACTGAATATAAATTCAGCATTTGAGATGGATATGTGACCTTCTCCATCGCAAATAATTCTGGTATGCGTTCCTTGACAAAAAACTGATATACTCATGGAGAATAAGTAAATATCATTGAATATAAATACAAACAACGTACAGTGTTTACTACAACGCTCATTGTATATTTGTATACATATAAATTTTAAAACGGTAATTGTTTTATATTTGGAACGATCAATTCTTATTCCTTATTAATAAATAGTATAAATTAAAATAGAAAATTCTTATTTAAATTTAAGCACTTTTGCAATATACATACGTACTTCTTTTTAATCTACCGCTCATTTAGAAAGCTTTCTCATCACAAGGAGAACGCAAGAGACTTGCACGTTGCTCTTTTAAATAATTGTATGACTACGAACTAGTACTAATTCATTAGAGTCAATATATTATATACACAATCAACTGGTAACTAAATAAGATTAAATCAGTCATAGTGATTAGAGCAGACAAGCAGCACTTGTTCACGAGTATGACGGATGAGAGATAAAACTCTCTGTATCACCGCTTGAGGTTTGGTTGTTGGACGGTGAATCAATCAGATTAACTTTTCATTCTGTCTGATCAAACTATTCTTGGCAAGCGAGCGAAGTCGAGGGTGAAATATACTTACATAGCATTTAAACTAAGGAAACAATAAGTGATAGCATGTCCTACGTAATGTAGTAATTCTAATAAGGTTGACTAGTAGTTTAGCACACCATGGTCGCGAATTCGATTCCTCGCAGTATAAACATTTGTATTCAACAGTATGATTGTTTGTAGAGTCTGGTTCTATGTATATTATATATATATATATATATTTACAAAAAAATTTCTATGTAGGTTTTTATGTAAAATGTCTAGTACCCATAACACAAGCTCTGCTTATCGTGGCGCTAGATGACGCTGTGTTAATTGTCCAGGGTTATTTATTTATAATGTAGTAATCGCCTATCTATCTAAACAGCACCACATGTCCCCGTGTGGCTTTCATGATACGATTCACTTGTTGCCATTCTGGATGACTACATTGTCATGCGTCCGTATCCTGTCTCTTCACTACCTCATCTTAACATGCAATCCAAGCTGCTTGGTAGCTAAAATAGGTGGGACAGAGGTAGGAGACACCCACGTAGAGGACTTTGTCGGTAAAGTCCTCAAAATAACTAAAATATAGCCAAGGTAAAGTCTCACCGTTTGTAATTGCGAAGTCAATACCCGACCTCTGATTCATAAACAAATCACACATAATCATCACCAATTTTGCATTAGTCACTCAAGGCCTGGTGAAGGGATGCCACTAGGACTTGGTACGTGACCAATTACCAGGCGACCTCCGCGGCCCAAAGTGCGGTCGTTGTCTAACCTAGATAGTCTATTATCAAGGTACTATATAGTCGGGGGAACAGGATTGTTGGTAATGTGGTTTAATAATTCCATAGTAATGTGGGGATTGTTAGTATAATATAAACTCTTGACTTGACCCTATTGCTAGCAATGTACCGTGTCAGGTTGACCTACACACGGTATCTCTGGAAACCATCATGATAGGTTCCTGGTAAATTTGTCACGATGGGATAACTGACCCGACCACGTGGTCATTACTCCACTGGAGTTCCGCCAACGTAAACCTTTGTGCGGACGAGTACACCATTCCATAAAAAAACCATCTGACGGTCCAATATCTAGGTTGTTATTATTATATTTACTTATTTTATTTTTGCGTTTCTATTTTGCCAGACATTTAAAACAACCGTTTTTGAACTACTATTTAATTCGCAATTATTCGTTATTCAATCGCAACAAAGTCGTGTCTGTTTTAGATAAAATAAGTTTCCTAAGAAGAATATTTTTATATTCTTCTTAGAAAATTGAAGAGCTGTATTCTCTTTCGTTATCGTTGAAACTAATAATAAAATTATATTAGATATTTTAAAAAAAGTATTCATATAAACAATACAAACAATCAAATAAAAATTAACATTATTAAAATAATTTAACGATAGTTACACAGATTAATTACATTACAGTTTGCATATGCTACTTACATATGCTAAATACACTAATACTACAGATAACATTATAATACTAATACCTATGTATAACAAACATACAGTTCTTTTAAATTACCTGTCAAGTATCAATAAAATACTATAGTAAAAACAGTAAAATACTATTATAACAATCAAGGATGCATAATGTCGAGGCCCTTTTCGAAATTATATTTAATAAACATCAAAGTTTTATTAGTATTTATTTGACAAACAATTACACGCATCCTTTGTGATGATAATGGTGCTTATCATAAGATTTTACGAGCACCGTCGGCCGGCCGCCGCTATAGTGACAATCTCGTGAATATCGATAAAAAATACATTTATAATAAATGTAAATATATATATAAAATAAGGAATAAATCATTATCAAAGTCATCACTTTATTTTACACACTAGATTTTGAAAGTAAATTTCTTTTTCCCACATTAAAAAAGAAAGATAATTTTAATATCTCTACGAAATTATATGAATAGTAACAGACGAGCCTAAAATTTTCTCAAATTATTGGTTAAAACTGTTGCAATATTGAAATATCAATTGAGATAAATTCTTTAAATTCGCGACAGATTTAATTTAAAAGAAGTTAACTTATTATGTAACAATTATAGCAGAATTAGAGTCATAATGTGGTAAATATCGACAACAAAAACTTTCCCAAAGCATTGACCTTTCGGCACGACCAAATAGAATCGATACAATCGAATATCGATACATCCCTATATAACTACATACTATTTTTAGTGTATAACACGATCACGAAGGTGCCTGGCGCTTTCTGCCTAACTTTTATTCACCGATCTTTAGGTACAAGGTTTTATAGCCAATCGTAAATTTCACAAACGAATAAAGACGTTTTGTGAACGAGAATCGACGTCGAGACATTTTCCATTTAAATTATTTTAATACACTTCGGTTTAGCGATGTAATATTTATAATAAGCTTTGTACTGAATCAATTTTGCTTCGATATTTCGCGTCTGAGTTTGTCGCTTTAAATTATTATATTATTACTGCAGACCAGTTGTACTTGTATAAGTAATGATACAATTATAAGAACGCCTTTTATTATGACCTTAAAAAGGTTGTTTTTCACACGTAGGTAGATATGTGAGACATTAATTTATAGTTGTCGGTTATCTGCACCTATGGGTAAATAACCGAGCTACACTTTGTCCAAAGTTCTCTATGCGTTCCAAATGAACAGATGAAATGAAAAGTAGGTACTTATTTCTCATCTCATTTAAGAAAATCTTATTAAGCTTCAATCGATGTCAAGTGTTAATATAATGAAAAATAATATCAACTTACTTATCTTCTGACGTAGACATTTTTTTAATCCAGTTACTTCAATATGCCAATTATAACACGCGCACATTTATTTTACAAATACCTACATATATATTTAAGGCATACCAAAATATTTATAATATACGTATTGAAAATAGATTCCGATATTATAAATGTTATAACTATTATGTACATTCATTGAAAAACTAGTTCCAGAATGAAATTTAATAGTGAAAATTTATTATAAAATATTGCAAATTTTGTTTTCAATCTGTGTGTTTCAATATGCGTGTTTGATATTTATTATAATAACAATAGAATCGAGTTAAATTTAGTTAAAACGAAGCGTAATAATGTTTGACAGGATATATTTAATAATTGTCATGACAATCAACTACAAAATAGAGATGCCTATTATTCATAATAATGGGCTTTCGGGGTTTCCAGATTATTAGAGTCACGAGGTATTTAATCACATTGAATGGCAAACGAGGCAGTGTTCACATGTTTTATAAATAAAACCGTAGAGAATCAATACTGCCCAATAAAGATATTATGTGTAGCTTCTTTTCTGCTTGCAACTTCATCTTTTTGACCTTGATTACCGGATTAAGGTAGATTACTATCCTCCATCTGAAAAGCTCATACATACTGATTTCATGTTATAGTATGGAGGCAGGACAAACAGACATACAAAAAGTCACTTTCGCAAATATAAGATTAGTTTTGATTATTATTACTTACTACTAAAAACATATCACGAACCTTTTTTTACCGTCTATAACCGCTCTAACCAAGCCCTACAGCCTAAAGCCCCAAGCCAACTTTATTATTAGAGCTGTTGCAGAGGATGAAGTGGATTAAATGTATATGTACAAAATGAAAAATATTAATAGAACGTGGTAAGATTGCGAGTATGAATGGCTTGGTCTATTCTTACATAAATTATTTATTTACTAGATGAACACCCGGCTTCGCTCGGGTGAAATGTGGGTAGATATTTCTGTAGTCATCGGTTCTCATGGAATATTAAAAGTAAGCAAGGCATAGATTTGTAAAGCTTCGTTCATTGTATTTAATAAATATAGTAAATAAAAAAGTGTCAAAAACAATATTTTCGCGAAACGTCAACGACCGAAGAAAATGCTAGTGAAATGAAAAGATGGCGACTGCGGTTTGTTTGTCAGTGTCATTAGAATTTAACGAAATAC